CACGTCCATGTTTAAGTTAATAAGTAAAATACCTTGTTACTGATTAAAATATTTAAGTCAGCCAACGAATTGTTGAGCTTTTTCCATAGAAGCCGGCAAAGTCAGAGCTGCAGGAAGCGGCAGCACGGTGGATGGGGCCTGTTCTTGAGTGCGCCTGTGGGTGTCAGGACTCCTGCTGGCTTGGGACCCTATGAGTCTGAACATTTGTGGTTTGTCACAACTTGAATCGGTAGCCAAATGGCCTTATGAGGGGAACCATACTCAGAAACTGCTGACTTTTAACCATTTTCACTTAAAATGACTACAGCATCAGTGCTTTGTAATTCTTTAAAAATAAAACTGAATAAGGTGGTCCCAGCACAATAGCACAGCAGCTAAAGTCTTCACTTTGAATGCACAGGGATCCCATATGAGCACCAGTTCTAATCCCGGCAGCCGTGCTTTACCATCCAGCTCCCTGCTTGTGGCCTGGGAAAGCAATCGAGGACGGCCCAAAGCCTTGGGACCCTGCACCACTGTGGGAGACCTGGAGGAAGCTCCTGGCTCCTGGCTTTGGATTGGCTCAGCTGCAGTCATTGTGGCCACTTGGGGAGTGGACCATTGGATGGAAGGTCTTGCTCTCTGTCTCTCCTCCTCTCTGTATATCTGCCTTTCCAATAAAAATAAGTAAATCTTTAAAAAAAAAAAAAGCTGAATAAGGCTCTTCCATTTTTCTTTTATGTTTTCTTTTGAATTTTATTCCAATTAATACATTCAAAAGATACATTTTTTTAAGTTATTTTGAAATGCAGAGTGACACAGAGAGAAGGAAGTGGAGAGAGAGAGAGAGAGAGAGAGAGAGAGAGAGAGAGAGAGAGAGAGCAAGAGCTTTTCCATCTGCTGATTTACTCCCCAAATGACCGCACCAACCAGGGTTGAACTTTAGGCCAAAGCTCTGCACTCCACCTGGGTCTGCCACGTGGCTGGCAGGGTCACAAGTAGCAGCCGGGTCATGACCTGCTGCCTCACAGACTGCTCATTAGCAAGAAGCTAGATCAGATGTGACCCTGGTACTCAAACCTGGGTACTGTGATGGGGGTGCTGGTACCCCAACCAGGATATCGACCACTGCCTCATACACCTGCCGTGTGTATGCTGTCTGAAACATCAGAACAGTACAGAGCTCTGAGGCCCTCTTGGTCCTGGCCAAGGACTCTCCCCACCAGGCACTCTGCTCCTCACCCTAGCACCATTGGCTGGGGATGGGCTGGGCCAGATTTCATTGGCCAACACCAAGAGCAGTTCTCCAGGTGGACACCACGCACAGCACCCAGGGAGCCTTACTGGGCACAGTCACGGTCGTTCCCTGTGTCCTCATGTACTCCTGGCTCGCATCGTGCTGCTGGGCTTCTGGGGGACACTTTGCCATCAGCCCGACCCTGCCGATAACATGCTCATCATCAGGTGGTGGTGGGACAAGCCGGAGCAGAGGCCACCTGGCCTTAATCTAGAGAATGCTTTTCCCTCTCCTGAGCACCAGCTATTTTTCACCTTGTGGATGTTGTGAATGTTTAACTTATCACTCTCTGGTTGGCTGCCAAAAAGCTTAGAGCCAGATCTGTGGCTCACCCATGACAAATGTGCGCTATGCCTCGTTAACTCCAGGCCTGGCTCCACTTGATGTCTCTGCTCTAGTTATTCTTTCTTCAGGAAATGTTAACTCATGCCATCTTTCACATATTTCTTTTTCTCATAAACAGCCTTGCATTGTTTCTGCAGGAGTTCAGATAAGGATTAGTGCGTATTCATAGAATCATCTTGGATGCTTCTTAAATTTATTCGCTTGAACTTTGTTTCTAGTATGTACCTTAAGATGAAAGCTGGCTTTACAGGGTTTGTTTTGTAACCATTTCTATTTTTAAGATTTACTTTTTTTTTTTTTTATTAGAAAGGCAGATTGGCAGAGAAATATCCGTCCTCTAGTTTACTACCCTTGTGGCTGCAATGGCCGGGAGCTTCTTCCAGATTTCCCACGTGGGTGCAGAGTCCCAAGGCTTTGGGCCATCCTTGATTGCTTTCCCAGGCCACAAGCAGGGAGCTGGATGGGAAGCGGGACTGCCGGAACACCAAGTCCCCATATGGGATCCCATTTCATTGCAAGACAAGGATTTAGCCACTGAGACATCGTGCTCATGCTGTGCCCTTTATAGGATTTTGATTACATGAAAAAAGGCTATGTCATACAAGTTTTATTGTCTTTTTTTTTTTCTTTAAGAATTCTTTCATTTATTTGAAAGGCAGAGTTACAGAGAGGGGTGGAGATAGAGAGCTCTTCCATCTACTGGTTCACTCCATAGATGCCTGCCATGGCCAGGCTGTGTCGGACTAAGCCAGGAGCTTCTTGCCAGGTCTCTCATATGGGTACAGGTAAACCATCTTGTGCTATCCCAGGCTCATTTGTAGGGAATTAGAAGCGGAGCAGCCAGGATTCAATGCCAGCATAGGATGCTGGGGTCACACATTGCGATTTTACCTACTACCCCATAACACCAGCCTCAACTTTTAACCAGTGTGCTGGCCAGAACTGATCAGATTGATTCCACCTTCCCAGCTCTCCCTTTGCAGTGCATCCCTGGTTCCTCACAGTGAGCTTTGCTTCCCACTCTCTGGTCTGCCAGTGACTGTGCATTACTGAGTCACTCAGTGCCAAAGGCAGCACACAGCACTCAACCACTTTGGCTCTGCCAAGTCTGGATGATGTCATCCTCTCCCATCAGCCTTCCTGTCCTGCTGCTGCCCTTCCTGGTGAGCCTGAGCCCGGCAGCCCCTCATACAGGAAGCCTGATCTAGTTCCTGCTCCAGCTTTGTTGGTGGACAAGATAATATCGGCAGCTTGGATTGGCTTGGGGCTCCGAATGTGTTTTCTAAACCTTAAACACTTAATGCGTGTGTAGGTGTACACATTTGAAAGGCAGAGTGACAGAGAAAGAAATCTTCCATCTATTGCTTCACTCCCTGAATGGCCTCACATCCCAGGACTGAGCCAGGCCAATACCAGAAGCCAGGAACCCATCCACTAGAAATGGTAGGGTCCAGGACACAAACCTGACAACTCATATATGGGGTGCCTATATCACAAGTAGTAGCTTAAGGCTTCTTTTTTTCTTTCTTTCTTTTTAAAGATTTATTTTTATTGAAAAAGTAGATTTAGAGAAAAGGAGATCCAGAGAGAAAGATCTTCCATCCACTGGTTCACACCCCAAGTGGCCACAACAGTTGGAGCTGAGCTCCAAAGCCAAAAACCAGGAGTTTCTTCGAGGTCTCCCACGCGGGTGCAAGGTCTCAAGGCTTCGGGCCATCCATCTTCCACTGCTTTCCCAGACCACAAGCAGGGAGCCGGATGGGAAATGGAGCAGCCAGGACATGAACCTGTGGCCCCTATGTGATTCCAGAGTGTGCAAGGATTTAGCCACTGAGCCATCACAATAGGCCCAAGCTTAACCCTTCTGAACCTCAACACCAGCCTCTTTGGGTAAGCTCTTTGAGTACCTCCAAATAAACTTGGCCATCACTGCAACTCTCTTGAGTACCTAAGGCAGATAGATGCACTTTTTACAGATAACAAAATTACAGAATTTGGACCCAGTGCAGTATCCTGGCGGCTACCATCCTCGCCTTGCACACACCAGGATCCCATATGGGCATGCACATATAGGCACAGCAGTCTAGTCCCAGCTGCTGCACTTCCCATCCAGCTCCCTGCTTGTGGCCTGGGAAAGCAGTCAAGGATGGCCCAAAGGCTTGGGACCCTGCACCCATGTGGGAGACCCTGAAGAAGCTCCTGGCTCCTAGCTTCGGATCAGCTCAGCTCCAACTGTTGCAGCCACTTTGGGAGTGAACCAGAGGGCAGAGGATGTTCCCCCTCTGTCTCTCCTCTTTGTATATCTGCCTTTCCAATAAAAGTAAATCTTAAAAAAAAAAAAAAGGAAGGAAGGAAGAAAAAAAGCTGGGACAGTCCCATATTTCCTGATTCATATGCTACAGTGCCTTTAAAAGTGTGAAAGAATTTCTAGCATGCTTACCGTATGACGGAGTCTTTATTGTACTATTAAGGTTGAAGATGAGGAATGAGTGGGCGTGTTACATCCCTGTGCACACAGGTGGGCAGACTCAGGAATGAATTTCACTTGTCTCCCTCTCAAGCTTTTCTGTTCCTGAAGTCCCAGATCCTTGTAACTGCAGTTCTCATCCCTGTCATTTTCCACTACGGAAGGAGGAAGTCATGTTTCATGTTATCTCTTAAAAGTTAGTGTTGAGGTGGATACTATTTCCCTTTATAATTAGTAACGTTTTCTTCAGACTCTGAATTTTATATTTGCTGTAAAAACAATTTCCCATTAACATCATGTATGTTCCTGAAGGAGCCCAAATATATGGACGTGCTAAGGTGTCTGATGGAATGTAAGCTGTAATTTATACCAGCCTGTGTCTCATATTGGAGTGCCTTGGGCTCCAGCGGACCCTGGATGGGTAACAGTTCAAGTCACTGAGCCCTTGGCATCACATGGGAGATGTGGACAGAATCCCCAGCTCCTCCCTTCAGTCCCAGTCCAGTCCAGCCATTCTGGGCATTCAGATGGTAGACCAGTTGTGGGGAGGGGGCACTAGTATTCTCTCTGTCTCTTTTCCCTGCTCTTCTCCCTTTCTCTCCCTCCTTCCCTCCTTCCCTCCTTTCCTCTCTGTCAACACCTCTCAAATAAAAATCTTTAAAAAACTTTAAAGAGGAAATTACAAATTCATACCTACTATCTACATGGAAAATTTCCAAAATTTTTCTAATTGTTTCTCCACAGCATGCCAGCTCAAGTTTCCTGAATGTTTACGCTTAGCCAGGCGTTGTTGCCAAACCATTTATAATTACATTTTGTTTTGACCACAGCCCTTACAGAGCAGCGACACAGCCCCAGTCTTAGCTAAGTGCCACCCTCAGCCATAAATAACATCTTCTACCTCTCCTTCAGCTGCTGAAGTCGGTGCAGGATGGACCCCGTGGTCCTCAGCTACATGGACAGCCTCCTGCGGCAGTCAGACATCTCACTGTTGGACCCTCCGAGCTGGCTGAATGACCACATCATTGGATTCGCCTTCGAATACTTTGCCAACTGTCAGTTCCGGGACTTCTCCAGCCAGGTCGCCTTCATCAGCCCTGAAGTCACCCAGTTCATCAAATGCACGAGTGACCCAGCTGAGGTCGCCTTGTTCCTGGAACCCCTGGGGCTCCCCCAGAAACGGGTGATATTTTTAGCCATCAATGACAACTCCAACCAGGCAGCTGGGGGAACCCACTGGAGCCTGTTGGTTTATCTCCAGGATAAAAACCGCTTCTGTCATTACGATTCCCACAGCAGGAGCAACTCCATCCATGCCAAGCAGGTGGCGGAGAAGCTGCAGGCTTTCTTAGTCAGAAATGGAGACAGGCCGGCCTTTGTGGAGGAGAAAGCCCCTGCTCAGCAGAACAGCTACGACTGCGGGATGTATGTGATCTGTAATGCCGAGGCTTTGTGCCACAGCCTCTTTGGACAGCAGCCAGAGGCCCTGCTGCAGCTGCTCACCCCCACATACATCACACAGAAGAGGGCGGAATGGAAAGAGCTCATCGCCAGGCTTGCTCAAAATTAGCTGCTGACGGATATCTGTGCCTGTGGAGTCTCTCCTGAGGCTGCAGCCTGGCCTCCCTGCCGCGGGGAGACCGCCTGGTGGGGGACAGCCCTGACCTGACCACTTGCTGCGGGAGGGTGAGCATCCTCTGTTATCACCCTTGATTTGAGAGCACGTCAGAGTTCCGCACCAGAACCTTAAAGCCAGTGTATCTTAACATCTATCGCACACACTTCTCATTTTGGTCTAAAAATTAATCCTTCTTGGTCTCCCTTAATCCTCATTAGCTTTAAAAAAAAAAAAAAATCAGTGATCTGTAAAACAAATCAGGAATTCGAGAAGTCTGAAGAAAAGAAAAAAAAAAAGCCATGAAAAGAACAACTATAGCAAAAAAAATCTGTTGCAGGTTTGTTTGTTTTTTGTTGTTTTTTTTTTTTTAATACAACCTGCATAATTAAAGAGCTCAACTGGCCAGAAGCAGATCACAGCCAGACTTCACCCAAGACCAAAACATTCGAAGCCTCAGTGATGGGGGTCTGTGATCTTGGCCGTTCACAGTGCAGAGAGAGGCCTTCCCTGTGCATATATTTAATTTAAAAAACAAAAATGGTGTTAGCCCCCTCTCCTCCCATCTGATTCCCGGGATGCCTTAAGGACAAGCAGGAGAACTTGCTCAGGAAGCCGGCTCTCCCGCTGCCCTGCGTTGCTCACAGTGCCTCCTGGCCTTGGCTAAGGGGCCACACACATGCTCCCTCCTCAGATACAAAATTCATTTGGTTATAGAAAATAAGAGTTGATAACTTCTCAGGTTTACCTATTATTTCAGATAAATATTTCTGCTTTCTGGGAGTGAAGAATTCCCTCTCCTTGAACATGGCACAATCGTTTTTTTCGGATTTGTTTGTTTTCAGTTATGTCATGATGATTTTAGGATCATCAGAGCATCTGAAATTTAGAGTTGGTTTATTTTTAAAAGAGGAAGAAAAAATGGCCTCCCCCCACCATTTCCCTTAACTCAAAAAATGCAAACAATGCAATTTTTACAGAGTCGAAACGGGATCCCTCCGGTAACACAGATGGGGTTTCTGCAGGTTCTCTGGGTCATGCACAGTCATATGAGGCGCTCATCTTGTTCCTCATGAGAATTAGAGACGTGAAAACCAAAGATTAGCTTGAGCCATGAAACTTCTTTCAGCTACCTCCTCAACCCTACCCTGCCCCTAGCTCCCCAGCCCAGAGTAACCTCACCACCCAGTGAGCCAGTGCTTCGCTCAGTTCCTGTCAGCCTGGGAGGGGAACACAGCACTGGTAAGGACAGCTTCCACAGCAGGCCTGAGTGCACTAAAGTTGAAACTGAAATTCAAAGAGAAAGTTCCAGAAGGCCACTGTATTTTGAGAGAGAAGAGAAACTCAGAGGCAACCATCAGCCCTAGTAGTTGCCTTCCCACACCCCGGGCTGGTGCTTGATCAGCAGGTCAACACCACAGCTTACAACACCAGACGTCACATAGCAAGAGTGCCAGTTGGAGTCTGCCTGCTCCACTTCCCGTCCAGCTCTCTGCTGATGTGCCTGGGAAGGCAGCCAAGCAGGGTGAACCAAGCCCTCGGTAGGCCACCGACACCTGCATGGGAGACCCCAGTGGAATTCCTTGGCTCTTGGCTCAGCCTGGCCAGCTCTGGCTGCTGTGGCCATTTAGGGAGTGACCAGTTGACAAAAGCTCTCTCTCTCTGGCTTTTAACTACATGAAAACCTAAATAAATGCATTTTTCTTTTTCACATAGCAGGATTGGAGGTTTTCTTTTGTTTTTGTATTTTGTATTTTTTCCCCCAGCATTTCATGGATATTCTGATAGCCTATTACAGGATACAAAGTAGGAAAAAGATCCTGTTTTGCTCCTATTACATTTTTTTTTTTAATCTCTTAGAGGCAAAAGAATCCAGGATGCCAGGTTCAGCTTCGAAATCTGTAGTCCTTATGCATAATTATTGTGAAAGTAATACTCTGGTTTCTCTTCAGATCATTATAAATCTTTCGCCTTTTTATTGTGAAAACACTCCCAAAAAATCATTTAGAATTTGGTGTCAGCAGTTAGCGAATTGAACATGAGGCAGGTATCCTGCTGTGTTGTCCTGTAGGTGTACTCTGACACATCCCACCTGAACCTCAGTGACTTCCTAACAGTCAGCCCTGTAACCCCAGCAGTAGGCTGTGGCAAGAACCACCAGTAGCAGTAGATTTTACATCGAATGCATCTAAACCACAGATGCTTCTGCTGTTTGGCTAGTTTCTCTCAGCACTTGCAGGCATTGGCCCTACCTAAAGCAGAATAATGTAAATATTATGGGTGGGTTGTATTTCTGATCATAAGCCTTACTCATCTGACCATGCCATCATTTTTATTAACATTAACCCTGTGATTTTAAGAAACACTCGACTGAAGCTGCAAAGTAGAATTTCTCAATGCCGGGGTTATTACAGTGAAAATGAGGTTGGTTTGGTGGGTTGTTTTTTTTTTTTCCTAACATCAGTTAGAAAAGGAGAGAATCTTCACGGGAACTTACATGCCGTGGTGTCAAGAGCATGGATGCTTTTTTCTCAAATCCTAGTTGCGCAGGTTGCAAGCTTACAGCCTCAACTACAGAGTGAAGCCAGGCCTCTGTTGAGACAGACACTGTAAGTGACAGTGGGAAGCACAGCACGGGCACTAAAATAGACCTCTGTCCCCTCCCGCCCACCCCCATTCCATTTTAAGACCAACAACAAGTCTAGAAATGTGGTTTCACGTTGCCATGCAGCCACACAGCTGGGTGACACAGGGCCTGCATGATTAGGTACAAAGGAGAGCCTGCGGGGTGGCAAATGGTAACAGCTGACCTGCTTGGCACCCTGTGACTCAGCACCACATGCCTACCATGTCCACTGCCACACAAGGGGCGTGCCTTGTTACATTGTAGAGGCTATACACAGTCCCAGCTCATCCTCCTGTTTTCTAGTTACACTCCCTCTTCATCCTGCATCACACGCGGGGCCTCTCAGGATCCCTCTCCAGGGAGGCACTGCTTGAATGTCTTCAGCGTAGTCCGGGCTCACTTTCTGCCTCTCCCACTCAGCCGGTGAAGTGGGCGCCCACAGTGAGAGGTCAGAAATGGCCTTGACTGCCAGGCAGCGGGACCCCCTCCCCAAAGACTGCCGGCTCTGTGTTACACCTCGCGTCGTGTTCGGACAAGCACGTCACATCCATCTGACGACCTGATGCTCTCTTAGAAGCACTACACTGGACGTCCTGCGTGGACTCAACTCAGCGGCAGCCAGGAAGTGAGCCAGAGGAAGTGTGTGGAGCAAGAACAGCAGCTTGGGGAATCTCATTAAAAAGGAGGGAGGACCTTTAAAGAACCAGGCCAAAGAATGGGACAGAGCAAAAGGTGTGTCCTGCCCAAAAGGGAAAAAATTGGTGGCCAAGTTCCAAAATGAGGCTGAAATTCCACTAAGGAAAAAAAAAAAAAAAAAAAACCAAGCTATACATGCGCCAAAATGTCCTTTCCTAGGGGAAAAACTAACACAGCAAAGGAAGTGATGGCACCTCCAGGGTCAGCGGGAGGGAACAAATGTCATCACTGGGGAAAAAAAAGAATCACTGCCGTTGTTGTTGTTGTTAAAAGACACCATGATAAGGGCTGCCTCCTGGGTCTCTCTCCCACGTGCAGCACCAAAGCCAAATGCAAGCTGAGAGAAGCTTTCACGACAGGATCTGCCCCCGGCCACCTGGCACCTGCCCCATCCACCTGCTGCCTCAGATCCAGAAGCCTCCTCCTTCCCAGAAGAAAGAAAAAAGCCACCAAGCATGCAGCTCCACTTGCAGGATAGCTGCTTAACCAGCCTGCCCATGTCTGCACACCCGTCTCTGACACTGACCCTGAAAACTACCCTTACTTACACACACACACACACCCTAGGCTGCCTTCATTGGCTCCTTCATCACTGAAATGCAGCAAACCTTCCAGCCTCAGAATAAATAAAACCGTGAGCTCACAGCGCCCCAGGTGCTGACCTTTGACCTCTCCACTCCCGGATCTATGGTCACCAGTCCACATCCCCCTCCCCATTCCTCAACCCACTTTATCTGGATTCTTCCCCACTCCACAAAAAAGCTCTCCAATCATTAAATCATCCTAATTCTGCCTCCCTCCTTGGAAGGCTGGAGTTGAGCTGCAGCTAGTTAGAGCAGACTTTTAAAATATCCTCATTCCAGTCCCAGCTGCTCCACTTCCAATCTAGCTCCCTGCAGATATGACTGGGATCTGGGATCCTGGAACGTACAAGGAGAGGACTTTAGCTACTAGGCCACCGTGCTGGGCCCTCAGATAAATAAATTTAAAAAAGAAAAAAGATTTCCAGGGACCCAGTGCAATGGTTCAATGGTAAAATCCTCACCTTCCATGTGCCAGGATACCATATGGATATGAACACTGGTTCCAGCCCCAGTTGCTCCACTTCCCATCCAGCTCCCCATTTGTGGCCTGTGAAAGCAGTGGAGGAGGGCCTAAGGCCTTAGGACCCTGCACCTGCAGGGTAGACCTGGAGGAGGCTCCTGGCTCCTGGCTCCTGACTTCAGTACAGCTATGGCCATCATAGCCATTTGGGGAGTGAACCAGCAGATAGAAGATCTGTTTCTCCTCCCTATAGTTCAGCCTTTCCAATAAAAATAAAATCTTAAAAAAAAAAAAAAAAAAAAAAAAAAACTTTTTAGGAGTGAGCATGAAGTCTAGTGGTTAAGACTGCCGTGTCCCATATCACTACCTGTGCTCAGCTCCTGAGCGCTGACTTCAGCTTCCTGCCAAATCACACACCAGGTAGCTGAGTGCCTGCCAGTCACATGGCAGGTCTGGACTGTGCTCCCCGGCCCTGGCCCAGCCGCAGCCATTATGGATACATGGGAAATGAATCAGTTGAAAGTTCTCTGTGTCTCTCTTTGTCTCACAGTCTGTGTGAATGAAGGGGGAGGGAGGGCAGCATTGCAGTATGATAGCTAAAGTGATGCAGGCCTCCCTTAAGGGCCAGAGTTCAAGTCCCAGCTGCTCCATTTCTCACCCAGCTGCTTGCTAATCGCCTGGGGAAAGCAGTGGAACATGACACGACCGTTTGGATTCGCCATTCATGAGGGAGATCTGCTTCAAGTTCCTGGCTCCTAGCTTTGGCTGGGTTCAGCCCTGGCCCTGATGGCCGTCTGGGACCTGAGCCAACAGATGGAAGATCTCTCTTGCTCTCTTTCTTGCCCTCTCTCTCTGTAACTCTTCCAAATAAGTACATCCTTTAACAAAATAATAAAACAGAGAGGGCCCAGCTCGGTGGCCTAGCAGCTAAAGTCCTTGCCTTGCACGTGCTGGGATCCCATACGGGCATGAGCAGCCCCAGCTTCTGTGATCATTTTAGGAATGAACCAGTAGATGGAAGATTTGTCTTTCTCCCTCTCTTTCTCTCTCTTCTTTTTTTTCCAATCTATAAGTCTGCCTTTCAAATAAATAAAATACATCCTTCCAAAAAATGCACCCATTAATCCATGTAAACTTCATTCTTGCACAAGAGTAAGCCTGGGGGAGCAGGAAGGGTGAACAGCAACCCGACCAAAAAAAAAAAAAAATAAGGAACTCAAGACTGCGTGCGTCACTCTAACCATGCACATTTCTTCAGCTCAGCTGAGATCTTCCCATTTTGCACTGCAGAGTTTCATATAAAACACTCTCCTGGATGAATTTTCCCCCTCAGTCCTTGTGATTTTACAGTGTCCAAAGGTCATGAAGCTCTGCATCAAGTTAGTAGGTTATGTTTTTTTTTCCCCACCATGTTTCCCTGCCTTGAGCCTTTTGGCGGGTTCTAATCTGAGGTCATCAGGATCAGCAGTACTGCAAACACTCTTTTCCATACATCATTTTTCTTCAGATTTATGTATTTTTATTGGAAAGTCAGATGTACAGAGAGGAGAGGAGACAGAGGGAAATATCTTCTGTTCACTGATTCACTCTCCAAGCAGCCACAACGGCCAGAGCTGAGCCGATCCAAAGCCAATAGTCAGGAGCTTTTTCCGGTTCTCCCACATGAGTGCAGGGTGCCAAGGCTTTGGGTTGCCCTCAACTGCTTTCCCAGGCCACAAGCAGGGAGCTGGATG